GTTTGAGACTGAACAGTGAAAGCTAAAGCAGCACAGTGATGTGTTAAAATATTTGTCACTCTTCTTTCTGCTCCTATCGGCATGCTTCTTAAAAGCACATGAAATGATTGGCTCCTTGTGCTACGGTTTCTTTTTAAACTCCAGCCCGGCTGTACAGGGTCTGTAAGAGGCTGGAACTAGCAGTCACTGGATGGATGATATTATCGTAGTCATAGACAGCCTGTCTCAGATGTCTCCTAGCTAAATGCTCTCAGTGGTTTACTATGGATAGGAAATGCACCCCACCATAGTTGAGTGCAGTTATGCAGCCAATAGCACAACACACCGTAAAGTTTGATATTGGTTATTATTCAAAGACACCAAAAATGTGGCTGGCAACTCCAACATCCATATAAACGTCTTTATTGGTGGCACAGCATTAGGTAAAATGCCAACATGTGGATGTTGGGAGTTTCTGGAAGTATTTTTTGTTTCATTGGATCTCAGTGGATTGGGGACACTCAGTGAGCCAGAGTACCTGTCTTTGGGATTCCTTGTCTGATTCATTATCTGTAACCTGTAGTCACCTGTTCTCATTGGTTATTATACCCAAAAACTGTATTGAAAAGATTTATGTAACTTGAAGTTGGAACTTGCTGTCATGGCCAAGGCCACCTGACCTCTCTCACTTTAAGCCACCAAAGGCAGCCTCCTACAAAATACAAATTAAAGACCTTCAATTAATTTAAGAATTCTACAGACATTTTAATACCCAAGGCTGCTTACTTGGTACCTCTCTCTCACATAAGGAACAGAATATATTAACTCACCTTTGCTCAACCCTCCTTGATCCCACAAAAGTTTTGTGATCTCATTGGTCCATACTTCCTTCACGCTAGTGGTTTCAGCTTGCAGAAGTAATGTTTCCCTTGATTTCTGACGGCGAAACCAAAGTTCAATCCGTGTATCTCCCTCTGTAGCATTCTCTGTGATGCCCATGTCAGCTGTCTAAATCAGAACAATATACAATGTTAGACTTTTCTTGTGTGTGGTAAAAAGTGGTCCACCATGATTTAAAACCTGTATTGTGCTTATGTTTGTTGTTTTCATAAACCTTTTAAATCTAGAGATAGTCAAAACCAGACCAGATTTTGATGTTTTGACAAGTTCTGATTTATTCAATAATAACTTTTTACAAGGTAGGCACACCAAAGTGCTTTTTACACCCTTCTATGGCACCCTTTTAGGCTTTCATTCATACACTTTTATAGTAATTGGGGGAAAAAACACCCTATATATAGATAAAATTAGTAGAAAGCAGCACTTTTACCAATTTGGTTAATAGTGAGTCCATGCATCAGGAGGATAACCTATGATCCACTTCCTATATATGTATATCTATGTGTAAGAATCTAAAGCCAGGCATTTTTAGCACACTTCTGCTTTTCATTTCATGTAACAATACAAAATAACAACAGTTTGGAATATACAAGCTTGTAAAAGAGTACGGTATACTCAAATCTTTTCATGTTACTTTGTATTGTTACATGAAATACATTGCAACTACCTGGCTTTGTGTGTGTGTATATACAGTAAATTATATATATATATATATATATATATATATATACACAGACACTATATTGCCAAAAGTATTGAGACGACTGCCTTTACATGCGCAACTTTAATGGCATCCCAGTCTTAGTCCGTAGGGTTCAATATTGAGTTGGCTCGCCCTTTGCAACTATAACAGGTTCAACTCTTCTGGGAAGGCTGTCCACAAGGTTTAGGAGTGTGTCTATGGGAATGTTTGACCATCCTTCCAGAAGCACATTTGTGAGATCAGGTGCTGATGTTGGACTAGAAGGCAGTCTTTGCTCTAATTCATCCCAAAGGTGTTCTATTGGGTTGAGGTCAGGACTCTATGCAGGCCAGTCAAGTTCCTCCACCCCAAACTTGCTCATCCATGTCTTTATGGACCTTGATTTGTGCACTGGTGTGCAGTCATGTTGGAACAGGAAGGGGCCATCCCCAAACTGTTCCCACAAAGTTCGGAGCATGAAATTGTCCAAAATGTGTTGGTATGCTTACACCTTAAAAGTCCCCTTCACTGGAACTAAGGGACCAAGCCCAACCCCTGAAAAACAACCCTACACCATAGTCCCCTTACACCAAACTTTACACTTGGCACAATGCAGTCAGGCAAGTACCGTTCTCCTGGCAACCGCCAAACCCAGACACATCCATCGGATTGCCAGACAGAGAAGAATGATTCGTCATGTTAGAGAACACATCTCTACTGCTCTAGAGTCCAGTGGCGGTGTGCTCTACACCAGTAATGCCGACGCTTTGCATTGCACTTGGTGATATAAGACTTGGATGCAGCTGCTCGGCCATGGAACCCCATTCCATGAAGCTCTCTACACATTGTTGTTGTGCTAATCTGAAGGCCATATGAAGTTTGGAGGTCTTTAGCTATTGACTCTGCAGACAGTTGGCGACTTCTGTGCACTGTGCACTTCAGCATGCGCTGACCCTGCTCTGTCATTTTACATGGCCTACCACTTGGTGGCTGAGTTGCTGTTGTTCTCAGTTGCTTCTACTTTGTTATAATACCACTAACAGTTGACCGTGGAATATTTAGTAGCAAGGAAATTTCATGGATGGACTTATTGCACAGGTGGCAACCTATCACAGTACCACGCTTGAAATTAATTGAGCTCCTGAGAGCAACCCATTCTTTCACAAATGTTTGTAGAAGCAGTCTGCATGCCTAGGTGCTTGATTTTATGCACCTGTGTCCATGGAGGTGATTGGAACACCTGAATCCAATGATTTAAAGGGGTATCCCAAATTTTTGGCAATATAGTGTGTGTGTGTTCAGATAGATAGATAGATAGATATATTGAGTCCTGACCTCAACCAGATAGAACACCTTTGGCATGAACTAGAGCAGAGACTGCGAGCCAGAATGTTTCTTTTAATAAGTGGAGAAAATGGAGTTTTCTTCTGTTTGTACTCAGGGATTCCAAATATGTGCATATTTCAAAGCTCATCAATTTGTTGTTAAACTAAAATGACAGCCCGGAAATTATTCTTCTACCTCTGGTGTGCCCAGGGATATTTACTACATAATAGATGTCTATGTATGTTGGTGCATCCTTATGGTAGGAGCATGTACTATATGTAAGTATGTTAGGGAGTTTTAAATATTAGATAGTAGTGACAGGTACTCTTTATGGATATATAAGGGGTTTATTAGACCTCTTATGCCTCCTCTGCTTGTAGCCCATGCAGTTTGGGAACAAAAGCTTACAAAGACCTCCATGGCTAGGATTTTGACAGCTTTCAATAGGTCCCAGGCTCATGGATGAGTGAGGGCAGCCCAGGGAGGGTGGCACACTTTGCCACTGAAATGTAGAATTGATTGGTTGCTTTACAGCATGAATCTCAAAAGTAGCCTAATTAACATAAATAATTTTTCTATTTGAAATCAATTGAAAAATGTGTGAATCCAGGGTGAAGGTTGTGTGAATCTTGGGTGGAAACATTTTTAAATAAGCCCCAAAGTGTTTATTCACTACTCTGCCATAACAGGATTACAGCAGTGGCAGTGAAGGGGTAAATTCAGCAGAAAACTTGATCACTAACCACTAAGAGGTTACTGACCAAGTGTCTGGGTCTCCCAGCACACTGTACAGCTCATCTGTGGAGATCAGAGTGATCTCCAGAGTGTGGAGCCATAGGAAAAACAGGACTTTAATTAACATCCTCCCGACATGGGGAACTGCCTGAAAAGATATTAATTTACAGTGTGGAGGGCAGTTGGGTGTTAAAATGTGGTCATGTAAGGTTATCTAATTGTTTCAAACTGCACATACGCTGCTCTGTTCTATCTTATTTCTTACTTTGAAAGCCTGTTTAAAGCCATACGTCTCCAGACCTCCCTCTGCTGTCTTTAGTTTGCTTAGCAGAAGTAGTTTTTGGAACAGAAATACATGGCGAAAAGATTTCTTTCTTCCAGATAACACTGTGAACACATCCTTAAGCAAAAGACGTCCATGTTCTTTCTCATCAACCTAAATAACAAGATGTTAAAAAAAGCTTAATCAACTTCCAGAAAGAAATCAATGAAATAACAAAATGATCAGACATACAAGAAAAATGGAAGTGTATGCTTATTTGTATACCTTTTTATCCCTTTGAATACCCAGTGGAAATAATTACATTTTGTTACTTATTTGAGCTAAATATGCTGACCCCATGCAAAGAAAAGTTCTCTCTATGTTGTGCAATACTTTTGTCTGGGGCTTGTCTCTGCCACACAAAGGTTTCTAGTACCTTACTAACACATGATCACTGGTGTAGTATAGAGCATTTTAAGCATTCTAACTTTATGATGTAAGACATGTTAACTGTTTGTATAGCTGTAATTAGTTATTTTTAAAAAGCACACTTTGTGTAGGCAACCCTGCCTTCAGCTGTGGCCTTACCTCGAATCCCTTGATGGCTTCAGCAGCTAGCAGGTTTTTCCCATGATGCACGAGAGAGCCCACAAGTTCTCTGGCAGCATGTAGAGACTGCCGCTCCTGTTCACTGTCCTGGTCACATTCAAGCATCATGTCTGCCAGAAAGCGCTGGTACTGGTCCAACTGCTCCAATGGTCTATGCAGAATACCCCATGAGTCATCCTCTTCCTTCTGGTCCCTTTTCTTGCCCTTTTGAACAAATGGAAATATTGCAAACAATTTATTTTCATTTTTCTTTACACTAATGGTAACATATCCCATTTACAGTATGTATATGTGTATTCATTTTCATTAACAAAACTGCTGAAATATTGTACAATTACTTCACAAAGTGCTGTGCTATGGGCTACCAAAGAGCATACTGCTGCTGTTCTAATACCTCCTCCTCGGGCACATATCGTATTTTTTGCTCCATAAGATGCACTTTTTCTCCCCCCAAAAAAGGGGGGAAAATGTCAGTGCGTCTTATGGAGCGAATATGGTGTGGCCGGTCCGGTATTCCCACCGCCACCGTGTCAGAATACCGGGCCGGCTGCTCGGCTCTTCTCTGCAGCAGAACCTTACCTGTTCTTTGGTTCAGCACTGTACAGACTTCTGGCGCCGGCATCTTTAGTGTGGGCACCCGGCTGTGACAGCCGGGTGCCCACTGTGCATGTGCGAGCAGTGCTGCGCTTTGTGAATGGTCCGGCATCTTCTGGGACACATGACAGGTCCCAGAAGACACCGGACCATTCACAAAGCGCAGCGCTTCTCTCGCATGCACAGTGGGCACCCGGCTGTCACAGCCGGGTGCCCACACTAAAGGGAGGATAACTCCGCGTAAGTGGGAGCGGGTACTCGTCAAATTCTGGTACCCGCTCCCCCTGCCTCCCCAAAGGTCTGCAGTCTCTTGGTCATCCCCTGTACTGTCAGCAGTCTCTGGTCATCCCCTGTACTGTCAGCAGTCTCTGGTCATCCCCTGTACTGTGTCTGCAGTCCCTGGTCATCCCCTGTACTATGTCTGCAGTCTCTGGTCATCTCCTGTACTATGTCCGTAGTCTGTGATCATCTCCTGTACTGTGTCCGCAGTCTCTGGTCATCTCCTGTACTATGTCCGCAGTCTCTGGTCATCTCCTGTGCTATGTCCGCAGTCTCTGGTCATCTCCTGTACTGTGTCCGCAGTCTCTGGTCATCTCCTGTACTGTGTCCGCAGTCTCTGGTCATCTCCTGTAGTATGTCTGCAGTCTCTGGTCATCTCCTGTAGTACGCCCCCAGTCTCTGGTCCATCTCCTGTACTATGTCCGCAGTCTCTGTTCATCTCCTGTACTATGTCTGCAGTCTCTGGTCATCTGCTGTACTATGTCTGAAATCTCTGGTTATTTCCTGTACTATGTCTGCAGTCCATTGGTTCAGAATATTTTTTTTTCTTGTTTTCCTCCTCTAAAACTTAGGTGCGTCTTATGGTCAGGTGCGTTTTATGGGGCGAAAAATACAGTATATAACGTACTCCAGGAAACTGCCATCTCCACAATGTCCTGGGATACATTTTTTTAAATATCGTAAAATGCAGGCACAGTGTGCACTATTCCCACCAATGTATTGTAGTGTGCAGAGATTGGAAAATAAATGGGCCTAAATTTGTATAAAAAGCTGAGATGTAAAATATGATGGTGCATACATCCATACAACACCAAAATACATTTTGTACATGTATGAGCCAAAGCCTTCAGGCTTCATGTGCAAAGTAATCATGATCATGTAAAGTGACTCTGTCATTATTTTAGGAACCAAAACCAAAGGCATGCTTGCTCACCTCCCACCACTGCTAAGTTTACAAGCTATGTTGGCAAAAACGTCTCCAGCATCTGACACTTTTAGAGGTGTCATGTGTCTTGACCCCTCACTTCTTGCCATGATTCCTTCCTCTGGGCCATATATCACTACAGAACACAGTAGTAAAGTAGTGGCCTGAGCCAGAAACCACAGGGGACAAACAGGGATCAGGCATCTGACACACCTGGAAATGTGCCAGATGCTAAAGATACTTTTTCTGCTGTGGCCTGTGTAGACCTTAGACATATCCAGGCCTTCAGAGGGAACACTTTAAGTAATAAACCTATACATTTATTTTCTAAATACAGAGCCCATAAAGATGCCAACCCAGTCCCCAGAGGATATGCATCCAGATTGATTTGTAAGGTGACTGCCTTCTGTGGGTGTCCTAGCTTTTCAAATGAGCTCGGCATACTACTGATGGTCTATATATGCAAATAGGTGTCTTTGGCCACCTTGATGCCCTCCTTCTTCTCTCCATTTGAGGGTGCCAATAGTTTCTGGGTGTGTCTCCCCTTTTACCTTCTTCTTTGGAATCGCATTGATTTGACCTGATGTGATAAGTTATAGTTGTGTTACGTCAGTATCTCCTGAGGAAGCTTTAGTGTGATACGAGTTGACACCTGGTCATGATAATAACATAGCGCATATAACTGGGTGAGATACGAGGTGCCATAAACGTATGCTTTGACTTTGCTTGCAAAATTCCTTGAAAATTGAATTTATTCAGTTAACTGCTATCTATGTCCATAGGAATACATGTAAATAAACTGGGTTTTTTTTATATGAAGTTATGTATATGTATCAGAGAGGTAGCATTAGCAAAAAAATCCCATGTTTCCGCATTGTCTTTTTCTTCTAAATACAGATCATGTTTTGAGTTTTCTCCAAGTTTCCACACAAAAACATATTGTAGGTTTAACTGTTTTTTTTTAACCTAAAGCTGGGAGATTGTATGTAGCATTTGGTTGGCAATTTACATTGTATGCTCCTTTAAGGGCAGTTACTCTTGTATTGTTCATATAATCTGGTGCTAAGGATTTTGCTAGCTCTGTAAGAAATAAAAAGGATAGAAGACATAATCCAACCAAGGTTTCATGATTGGTAAGGTTGAATGAAGACACAAGTCCATTATGCCTGTACATTGCACTTGCTAAGAAATACATCTAAAAAGTTTTTTGAATTTATGTGCACTCCCTGCCAACACCACCGACTATGAAAGGGAATTCCACATCCTTACTGCTCTAACAGTAAAGAACCCATTACACGGTTTGAGACTGAACTGCTTCTCATCCAGCTTCTTTGTGTGGCTGTGTGTCTTCTTTAGAGACCCTAGGTTAAATAGTTTCCACCCAATGATAGAGTCACAATTCAGAGATTTCTATATTGCGATCATATCCCCTTTTAAGAATATCTTCTTCAGGGAGAATAAGTTTAATGTTTGAAGTTGTGGCTTATTTATTTATTTATTTCAGGTAGCCCCGTTATATAGCGCCGTTCAATTCCCTATCTAATCTAAGGTACTTATAACTGAGGTTATTGAAACCTCTGTATTGTTTATGAACAAGTTAAACAGAATTGGTGCCAGGACAGAGCCCTGAGGTACCCGCTCACAACTCCAGACAATTCTGAAAATATGCCATTAATCACCACCCTTTGGACACTGACGGATAACAGCAAACCACTTTTCTGCAGTGTGGTCAGTTTTAGATATTTAAAGTGAAGATCCTTCGTTTTGATTATCCATTCATTTATTCTGGATAAATAAAGCTCAGGGCTATTCCTTTAAACAAGGACATCAATTCACTTCCAGCACATACAGAAAAGCCACAAAGAGTTTTAATCCTCTCACAAAGTTTCCCTATGACTCACCTTTAAACTGCCGCTGGGGGATGGAAGGAACAGCTCAACCTTCTGTCTGTTCTTCACATACAGGGAGTATAAACGTAACTGGTCAGCCTAAAATACATGAGACAACAGATGTGGCTTTCACCGCCAGTAAAAAAAAAAGATATATTCAGACTAGCACAAGTAGTGAAATGTTTTTCTTTTGCTACATTAATCAGACCACTGTTATCACATGAGTATTACTGCAGACAAATTGTGCAATGTGGGAGCACAGCTGTGAGGCAGATACAATCGGATCCAGTGGACCAGACTTACATGTTGCAGGAAACAGTATGACACAGTGAAGGGGTGAGGCACACAGTTCTGGAGGTCTCTCAGGAAGTGAGTATGGAAGTTGAGGAGCTGCTCCAGGTTGCCTCTGAGTGCCAGGCCTGCTGGACATGATCCTCTGACCTCCAGAGACCGACGCAAAGACTGCACGTAACTCCGCTCAGAGCAAAGGAGGTCTAACAGCAAACGTTGTGGAGACCTGGCATGAATACATAGGTAAAACCAAATGAAATCAAAAGCACACACACATTCACATATAAGGCCTCATGCACACTGGATGTTTTACAGCCACTTCTAGGGGTGTCTGGCGTTTTTTTTTCCTGCCTCTAAACTCCCCAGCATGTTAGCATATGTGTCCATACACACATAGGCTTTCATCAGCATTTAGTGGCAGGAGAGTTTAGAGGCAGGAAAAAAACCCACTGCCAGTGCATCCAGGAGCAGCAGAGTTTGGGCAGAAAAAACGCTAGATGCTTGCAAATGCGTGTAAACACATGTAGACGAGTATTAACGATAGACGCGTTTAGCACTTGAGCGTTTTTTCATTTTAATAGCCAGTATAAATACTTTATTCTGGCCAATGAACTGAATTAATGTCCAAACGCTATTCTGGCCAATGAACTGAAATAATTCCCAAACGCTTGACGTGGGTAAAAAAGTGTTGCACACTTTTACAAGCATCAGCAGTTTTTTTGCAATACGCTGCTGCCAGGAGGAAAGAGTCTACGAGACTTTAGAAAACGTCCAGTGTGCATAAGGATTACATACAACATAAAAATGTTAAACAGGACTACAGGATTCATCAGTGCCAATTGGCACATACTGTACATACATACACATGTCTGATAATGTGATGTGATATATCTAAGATATATTACATGCATATCTGGCATATGCAGATTTCCTAGGAGTATGATTTGTTGGAAAATCTACCGTATGGCCTGTGGATGCACAAATATTTACAAATATCATAGATGGAGCTGCACAGTCCTGACACGGCTTGGATCAAATATAACTAGAAGAGGGGGTGCTTGTAATGGTGTATAACCAAAGAGTTACCAGCACTCTAAAAGATGCATTCCACAATTTATTGTGAATATGTCATGTCACAATAGTCAACCTGCCAATATTTCAGGGGCTCACAGGATCCCATTTCTCAGGGTGACCCAGTAACTGAGGCCCTGCGAGGCCCTTAAACGTTGCCATTGACCACTATGAAATGATATAGTCACAATAAATCTTAGAAATGCATATTTTGGAGTGCTGATGACTTCTTACACTTTATTATTTATTTTATTACAGGTACTTACAGTATATAGTGCTGCTAGTTTACGCATCTTGTTTAAAAGCATGAATAGTGTTATGTCTTGTTATTACTGAACTTTTTTTCTGTCAAGAATAATAATTTATTTTGCCAGCCTTGATCCTACCTGTTTTACATTTGCCACTGGCATTTAGTTCTGAGGGACTATTGACTATTTGCTGATTTTGAGATCCTGAGCACTATTCTGAACTCAGGTTGGATTTATATTACAGTCCTGTGAGCAAGGGGCTTGGAGTTCCCGTTCTGAAATTGCAACATATAGCTGCAAGAGAGGGACTTTCATATTTTACAAGAATTCCTGGCCTTGGATTGTTGTGCGGGAGTGATGGGAACCCTGGAGCAGTGACTGAGTGCCAAGTGTAGTGGCCTTTGTGTGGTTGTGTGCCTGCAGTGGGTGATGCATAGTTGTGGTGTAATGTTGAAATGGCTGTGTATGCCAGAACTATGGAACTTCTGTGACCTTAGCAGAGTGCAATGTGAACTTCCACAGCTAATCCTCCATCCATGCAGAACTAGCAATGTAAGGACTGTCAATTCTAAGTAGAATGTAGCCAACAGAAGTGTCACAAAAGTGTTCTGAGCAGTATGAGGATTGTTATATCTCAGATAAAGCAGAATTAGGTTGTCTGTTGAGCCTATATTGCCTGAGAGGTGTGCTCACATTATATACCCTTGTGGCTTACTGTTACATCAATTAACCTTTAAGTGTACTTGTGCTAGACTATGGACACTGACGTTTTTGCATATTCTGAACAAACAGTAAAGAGCTTTAAACGAAGCCCTCACTGACCTTTCTAGCTACATGAATCTTGATATAGTTCATCCTCAAAGATCATATTAGAGGTCAGTTGGGTTTCAGTCCATTTCTAACAATTTACAAACACCAGCTATCTGTTTGTTTACATCAGAAGGCTAGCAAGCTGTTAAGTTCAAAATAAACGTAGAGTAACTAAGTTCTCAGTGTTTCTGTTGTAAACTTTGAGGAAGAATTTCCCAACAATGCCTATAGCGTCTGATGGCAATGAGAGTGTGTTTAAAGGCTCATTCACACAGATGAAGAGAACCAA